AAAAAAAAATACATAAAGTATATCATTATAAAGTTTTATATTTTAAATACATATTAAAGTTACTTAAGACTGTTTAGATTCAAGTCATGGTTCCATATCATAAAAACTGTTATCTTAAAGTATCTATTGTCTTCTGTATAAGAGTAAAAACTGCTTTGCCTACACCCACAGTATTATTTTGAGGAGTAAATGAGACAGTGTATTTGAAAGGTATGTAAGAATTATGTATTACTTTACATTGTACTCCATTTACCATAAAACCAAAAACAACTTAGACATGAACCACTACTTATAGTATATTGAATTGCAAATTATAGTTGATAAAGACAATATGATTTTTATGTGCTGACAGATATATTACTAAGTGCAAAAGTAAACAAAACCAAAGTGAAGAACACTGTGTGTGGTATATTCTCAAGTGTTAAAAAGAAAAACACTAATCAGTGGCATACACCTAACAATCTGCATATACACAGATAATCTGGACCAGAAATATGGAGTGGGTAGGAAGTCAATACTTTCAGTGTTTTATCTTCTTTTATGTGAATAATATAATCATGAAATTCATAAGCAAAAAAATTAATTTAAAACACAACTAAGTTTTCAAGAATCTCCTGTGTTGCCTAACTGTAGGAATATCTCTTCAAAATTCGTCATTAGGTGATTTCATCATTGTGTGAACATCACACACTTAGATGGTAGTCTATTACATACTTGGGCCACATTTTAGCCTATTGCTCCTACACAACAAGCCTGTATAGCATGTCACTGTACTTAATACTGTAGAAAACTGTAACACAATGCTAAGTATGCACCTAACCATATAAAAGGTACAGTAAAAATAGAGTGTAAAAGATAGAAAATGGTATACCTGTATAGGGCTCTTACCATGAATGGAGCTTGCAGGACTGGGAGTGGCTCTGGGTGAGTCAGGACTGAGTGGTGAGTCACTGTGAAGACCTAGGACACCACTGTACACTACCATAGACTATAAACACTGTACACTGAAGCATCCTAAATTTATTTTAAAATACCTTTTCAATAATAAATCTGCTTACTGTAATGTTTTTATTTTATAAACTTTAAAAAAATTAAAAACTTTGTTTTGTAGTAACATTTAGCTTAAGACATTTACTGTGCAGCTGTGCAAAATATATATATATATTTTTAATCCTCACCAGAGGGTATTTTTCCATTGCTTTTCAGAGACAGGACAGAGAGAGAAATAGAAACATCAACGTGAAAGAGACACATTGATTGGTTGCCTCCTGCAGGAGGTCCAGGGCCGGGAATCCAGCCTGCAATGAGGTATGTACCCTTGGCCAGAACCGAACCCAGAACCCTTCAATCCGCAGTCTGATGCTCTAACCATGACCCAAATTGGCTAGGGACAAAAATATTTTTAATATCCTTATTGTAATTGTTCAATTTAAAAACTATAAAACTTACAAAAACTTTTTTTTTTGGTTATAAACTATGACACACTCACAGATGAGCACACTAGCCTAATTCCACACAGGATCAGGATCATCAATATCACTGTCTTCCACCTTCCCATCTTGTCTCACTGGAAGGTCTTTGAGGACAGTAACACATGAGGCTGTCATCTCCTACGGTAACAATACTTTCTCCTAAAAGACCTTCTTGAGGGACCTGTGTGAGGCACAAGAAGGTGCCATTCTTTTTTGAATGTTTTTACTGATTTCAGAGATAGGAAGGGAGAGGGAGAGATAGAAACATCAATGATGAAAGTCATTGATCAGCTGCCTCCTGCACACCCCCTACTGAGAATTGAGCCTGAAACCTGGGCATATGACCTGACTGGGAATCGAACCCTGGCCTCCTGGTTGATAGGTCAATGCTCAACCACTGTGCCATGCTGGCTGGGTGAGGATGTGTCATTCTTTTCATAAATATGTCCAAGGTGATTTGCTTGATTTCTTTCTTTTATTCACAACAGAATTGCTTGTAAGTAGACAGATAATGCACCATGTACATTCCTGTCTAGGACTGAAGAGTTTTCAGCTCTGGGTTCCAAGTTTTCAAACATTTTAAGGAGTTTGCTAAGATCTGCAAAACTTTCTGCTAACCCCTTCACTGTGAATTTTCTTGGGGATTCGTCTTTCTCTTCTGCAGTTTCCTTTTCTCTTGCCTCTTCTTCAGTTATGTGTCCCTGTTACAACTCTTATTCAGTTCCTCAGGAACCACATCTAGGATCTTCTGTGTTAGCCCCATCCACCCCCCAGGTTAAAGTTGTTCACCATGGCAACCAATGCACTGTTGATTTTTGCAACCTTCTTATCCTTGGCAAAGCCTTTTGAAGTCATGAATGAAACTTGAGTGTCTGCTTCCATATGCCATTCATACAGTCCTTTGTGACATCACTCCAAACTCAAAGTCTTGATGCCATCGTTGATACTGTAACGTTTCCAGTACTATAGCAGTGTTTTCTCAGTGTCTCCCTCACTTGCAGCAAAAGACTGGGCAAAAGTCCTTCCTGAGTCTGGGGACTAGGTAAGCCTCAGTGGGCTTTCAAAACTGCTGTAAGTCTTTGATGCATTGGCTAGATCAAAAAGGTAGTGTTTGGAGGATGAAACACCAGTTTGTTTTGGGATTAAGATCACCAATAAAAAATGATGTCCAAGAGCATTATCAACAACGAACAAAATATTGAATCATTTCCCAAAAACGACTTCTGCACTTTTCTGGCATAGCAATTCAGAAGAGTATCTAGGAGGAAAAGCTGGGTAATCATAACTTCTTATTGCTCCTGCAGGGCAGACAATGTGTGCTTACTGATGTGCTTGCAGGCCCTGGAATTATTACTGTGCCAGCTCAAAGGGTCTTAATTTGTAGCCTGCAGCATTGCCGCCAAACATGACTGTTCTCCTGTCCTTAAAAGCCTTGAAACCTAGCACTGACTTGGCCTCCTAACGGATGCAAGTCCCTTTAGGCATCTGGTTCCAGAACAGGGAAGTTTCATTTATACTGAATATTTGCTCTGACAAGCAATTTTCTCTCACAATCAGCTTATTTAGAGTTTCTAAAAATTCTTCAGCTGCCTTTATAGCAGCACTTGGGAGACTCACTGCTCACTTTCACATGTAATAACTAACTATTCTTGAATTGTTCAAATTACCCAGAGTTATTAGTATATTCAAAATTGTAGCTGCCTTTTCTCTCAACATTGCAAACAATCTTTTCAATTTGGTTGTGCTCAACATGGGTGCTCTCAGAGATATGCTTCTGGTTTGGATTTCAATCCAGGTCACTAGAAGTTTCTCCATGACTGATATAAGTAAGCCCTTCTCAAATTTCTGACGGTCTTGTGGCCTTCAATGAAGTAGATCCATTAACAACCTCTATCACTTTGTTCTTATTCTTCGAGATTGTAGCTCTGGTAGAGTGGGACGTGCCTGTCTTGTAAGAAGTATTCATCACTGATTTTCCACCTTTATGGTCCTTACTTATATTTAATTTTGTTTCAGATCAATTACTAGATGTGGTCTTTTACTGACAATATTAGCAGTGGATTTTGAACACTTAGGGGCTGTGGTGAACAAAGGTCATGAAATGAAATCAGGCACAATAAAAAATGATGCAATTAAGATGTGTTTAACACAAGATGCAAACACGTGTTAAACATGAGAATGCTGACAGCATATCATAATACACTGTTTTTTTATAGAAAACTATTGTTTTCATAAACAATATACTCTAAAATAGTACACTCTAAAATAATGATAAAAAGTATAGTATACAAATATATAAACCATCAACACAGGTGTTCATTACCAAGTTTATGTACTGTACATAATTGTATGTGCTATAATTTTATGTGACTGTCAGCACAGTAAGTTAATTTATACCAGAATCATCACAAGTAATGCCTTGAGCCATGACATTATGATCAATATGATGCCACTAGGTGAAAGAAATTTTTCAGTTCCATTATAATCTTATAGGACCACCATTGTGTATATTTGGGCCATTGTTAACTGACATGCTGTTATGCAGGATACACAGATTCCACAATACAATGAGTTTAGCTAGGAACTCCTAAAATGTGACTAAAACTTTCTTATATAAGTATAGTTTACAATATTCTTAAAGATTTGTATTAATTACTACACATTATATTCTGAAGCCTTAATTTTCCTTAAAAATAAATAATTAAAAAAAAATTGTTATTTTCTGTTATTTTGCTTAAACTCCCCTCCCTTTTGAGTTTCAGTTCTTACAAGCAGTCTGAAGACAGTTTCCTACTTCAAGGGAACCCTGAGAGCCCATTATGTGAACTGAGAATATAACAAAAGGCACTTAAATGTTATATTCTCACATTTTCACCTTCCAAACTGTAACTTTTTAAAAACTCAGGTTAAATTAAGCAATCTGTGAGAGCCTGAATATCTTTCAAATGCATATATTACCTAACTTTAAGTAGACAATTCTGTAGCTTCAAATTTGGTTTATAACTCTGGAGTTTGAACTTTATCTCATGTATAACAAAATAAAGCGTTTTGCCATGTTACCTGACCCACCTACAGAAAGACATTTAAATCTCTCTCTCTCACACATACTTTCTTAAAAAAAAAATCCCAGAATTTTAAACATGTAAATATTATCAACCAATAAAACCAGTTTTACAAGTTAAAATACTTACTAGTTATTGCTGTGCCTATGTAATACATTTCAGTCAAACAGTCTACTATCTGTTTGAGATTCCTTACACAGCCAACAGCTAATGCGACAAGTAGTTCAAAACCAGCATTGATGGTAGCTGGTGAACTACAGACTGGAATAGCCTGCTCAACTGGCAATTCTCCAGTTCTCACACATTGTAAGTAAACTTTTGAAGCAGGAAAGATGAAATCATCAATTAATTCCTAAAGAATTAAAAGAAACAGATCACTTGTTAGCAATAATATATGCTTTAGGAAAAAATGTCCTTGGAAGTATTTTATAATTATTTGACAGAATTAAGTATCTCAAAAACAATTTTGAATTTTCAAATTAAAAAAATACAATTCCACTTCGAAATACCATTGCCAATAAAAAAATCCTCCATTTCCCAGATATTTTAAGGTACTAAAGAAAAGTTTACTGTAATTTAAGAAAATATATTATAAATAAGTCTATTCCCTTAATTATATATAAAAATAAGATGCACCAAAATGATACTCTTTTTCTTGCATTGCAAGACACACCTGAGGAAAATTCATTGAACACATATGATACACAGTCTTAAAAGATAAACATTTTCCTCAGTCTTAAGCATCATCAAGTAAAAATTCAGATTTACTTAATAACAAAATCACTAATGCTGCCTAACTTCCTAAAACATTTTATCTGAACTTTTGATTTCAAAATTAACTTAAAAATCTCTTTAAGAGGGGAAGGCACACATTTAAAAAATACTGTAACATTCAGAGATAAGGGTTTCATAAGATAAAGGAAAGGGTCAAGATGATATCTCAAAGACAGAATGTTATATAGAGCTCAATCTAATGAACATTTAAAAGGTTATAACCAGTTTAGCTCTGGCTGGGTGGCTCAGTTGACTGGAACATTGTCCAACTGTCCCCACTCAGGACAAAAAAAAAAGACTGTGGGTTCAATTCCCAGTCAGGGCACTAGCTAGGTTGCAGGTTACAACTGAGAGATGTCTCTCACATAGGTGTTTCCCTCTTTCCCTTACTTTCTCTCTAAAAAAATGAATGAAAATATATCCTCAGGTGAAGATTAGCAGGAAAAAAAGGTTTTAACCAGGTTAGTGCCTACATTTAGAACTTACTTTAATGAGATTAGCACCTCCTTTTTCACAACCAATCTGATACTTTTTCTCAGGTGTTTGAAAGGCCAGTAACTCTTTTGTTATCCCAAGGTGGCCTTCGAAGATAGGCTCTTCTACACCTGTTTCACCAGTGTTTTTAACATTATCCTGCCAAAGACAAAACATTAGAGGCCTAACTTAAAGGAAAGGAAGACAAAGGAAGTCAGAACAAAAAAGAGCTGGAAGGCGAGGGATATCTCAGATAAAATTTCCCCAAACCTTTCCATTCAAAGGTAGTTTCTTATTTCTTTTAGAAACTGTTTCTCTTTCAAACAGTAAATGTGAACAATTTTTCTCTAAAAGGACAGACAGTGGCAAGTCTGAAGGCATTTTGGTTTTCACAACAGGGAGGAAAGAGGAACTACTAAAGAACCAACTAATGATTACAGGTTGAGGTACTGTTTAACATGCTACATTGCAGTACATAGCAGCATAACCCTTCAAAACAAGGAATAACCTGGTCCAAAATGTCAATGGTACCAAAGTTGAGAGATCCTATTCTGGAAGTAGGCTTTTTAAAGCACTAGGAGAATGCTAATCTGAAAGCCAAAAGGTTACACATTTCAGTATATTCTCACAGAACTCTGTGTAAGTAAAAGGTATTAAGTGGTTAATGTAAACACTAATTTATCAGACTCTTTTGATTAAAAATAATTTTAAGAATCTTCATTAGCCCTGGCAGGTGTGGCACAGTGGTCAGAGCATTGGCCCACACACAGAAGGGTCCTCCTGGGTTTGATTCTAGGTAAAGGACAAGTACCTGGGTTGCAGGTTCACTCCTCAGCCCTGGTCAGGATGCATGTGGGAGGCAACCAACCAGTGTTGTCTCTCACATGGATGTTTCTCTCTCTCTCTTTCTCCCTCCCTCCCTTCCACTCGCTCTAAAAATCAATGGAAAAACTAGTCCCAAGTGAGGATTAACGAAACAAAAATGACAAACCAACCAACCAACAACAAAAAATCTTCAAATATAATGGCAGTTTGTAAATAAGGTCAAAAATACCAAAATGAACAATATTAGTGTCTAAAGTTAGACATTTATATAAAACTAGCTTTACTTCCTTTCTACAAATAACGAGTTATTAATTCATCAGTGAATAGAATATATTCTTTTATGTTTTTCTTTTACATTTTTGTTTAACATAAATATTCAAAATTGTAAATTCTCTTTTAGTAAGGCAAATGATTTAACAGTGATATAATAAAGTGAATATTATAAAACATACCCTAATACTTTTGAGCCAATCAATTTCATTGTTGAGAAGAACTTCAGCATTAGGTACATTAATATTGCTGTTGTAAGCATAATTAAGAAGATGCCGTAGAAGAGTGAAATAATCACTTGAATGTTTACCTCTCTCTCTTGCTGTGCTCTGAAATATAATTGAAACGGTATGAATTCACAAATTCATGGTCAGAATTCACTTTAATTTTTTAAAACCTAGAGAATTAACTGATAAATGAAGTGGCAATGTGTTGTATCAATAACATAAAACAGTCAGATGTTTGATTTTCTTTTTTCCAAGAAGATAATATATATTTTTTCTTAAATATTTACAAAAAAACAAATGAAAACAAGTCTACAAATAGTATAGAAAATAGTGGGAAAGATTACATTTCTTAAACATGACTGATCTAATTTTAATATGTTAAAACTGTAATTTCCTCAATGTCCTTCATTTTAAGAATGAAGTATACTGGTAAGTTCATTTAAAAATGTCTCACCCCCAAAATAGTAAAGAGCTGAGTAATGAAGAAAAGCAGAGGCCTGTGTCCCATGCAACATCTGGTGCACATTAAAAAAAACTGCTCCTGTGCCAACTGACGAACAGTTCTGAAATAAAAACATTTTCTATGTAATTTATTATTTTCATGAATAAAAACATTCCAATATTGATTTATCTTTGACAGGGAAGAGAAAGTAATAACAGTAAAAATACAGGGTAATCCCCTATTATCATTTAACAACATTAAATAAAGACGATTTAAGCTATATTTCAGAGTTAAACCTGAAATAGTAACCATACAGGATGGGAATCATTGTGTTAGTTCCTTAATATTTGATTTCTCAGACTGTATAATATGTGGTGTAAATCAGGGGCAGGGCAAGACTACGTACAAGGCAAGTATACATGAAAAAAAAATCTTTATTTTTATTTATGTAAATAAAAACACATCTTTATTTAAAACCTCTTGTAAATATTTGGAAATACTCCTGTGGATACAATATTAGCTGCCATGTGCAGATATGAGAGGCATCATATGAGCTATACATTTTTTTTGCCCTCCCACAGAATTGTTTTCAATGAACTATATGTTGAAGCAAACAACTCATGAAAATTCAACAAAGATGAAACTATCCCTCTTATATCATATGAGTGGTTCTCAAAATACGGTTGTCAGACCAGCAGCATTACCTGGGAATGTGGGAACATCTCAGAAATACAAATTCTTGGGCCCACTCTATACTTACTGATTCAGAGACCCAGCAATCTACATTTAAATAAGCAATTATGGTGATTATTATGTATACCAAGGTTGAGAATGAAGTGTTATACTGTTATCATTTAACTGAGAAATTTTGGAAAAATCTGTCTCTAATCTTAGTAACAAAAACTTCATCTGATTATATTTATATCTTTAAAAATTTTGTATAATATATTGATTTTTCTACATTATCTACAGCTGATTCTTGAACAACCAGGTAAAATGCACAGGTCCGCTTATATGCATTGATATTTTTCAATACAAATTTATAGTATTGTAACCGTATTTTTTCTTCTTTATGATTCTTAATAACATTTTCTTTTCCTAGTTTCCTTTATTCTTAGAATACAGCATATAACACAAGGTCTGGCAAAAATAGGTTTGAAGTTGTTCATATGGAAAACTACAATAATCAATAAATAACAGAAGAATAAACTCTGCTTTGCATACTCACGACTGTAAATCTACTTTTGCCTGTATATATACCTTACAAACCATGTATTAATTGACTGTTTAAATTATAACTAAGGGTTACCATCAACAATAAGATATCATCAGTTAAGTTTTGGGGGGAATCAAAAGTTATACACAGGTTTTCTTTTAATCCTCACCTGAGGACATGTTTATTGATTTTTAGAGAGAAGGGAGAAAGAGAAAAGAGAGTGAGAGAGTAAAGAGAGAAAAAAGGAGAGAGAGGGAGGAAGGCAAGAATAAGGCTGTGAGAAGAAAACATCGATTGGTTCTCTCTCATAATGTGTCTTAACCGGGGTTAGAAACAGCAACCTTTTGGTGTATAGGATGACATTCTAACCAACTCAGCCACCTGGACAGAGCCTATTCACAGATTTCTTACTGTGGGAGGGAGAGGAGTTTACATGGGACACATAATCCCCAGGTTGTTCAAGGTCAATTGTAATTAGTTTATTGCTACAATACTGGAACATTACAACGTAAGATGTATTCAATAGTTGTTTCTTTCACTTCCAGTGAGCTATCTGCTGACCTACCTTGGCACACTACTCTCGCTGTGACCTTCACTTCCAGTGAGCTAAAAGCAGCCCCACCTTGGCTCACTTCTGAAACTGTGACTTTCACTTCCATTGAGCTAACAGCAGCCCACCTTGGCTGACTTCTGTCATTATGACCGTCAATTCTAGTGAGCTAACTTGCAGCACCACGTTGGCTCAGTCACTGTGACCTTCATATACCAGTGAGTTAACAGCTGCCACACCTTGGCTCATTTCTGTCACTGCGACCTTCCCTTCCAGTGAGCTAACAGCAGCTCTACCTTGGATCACTTCTGTCACTGTGACTTTCCCTTCCAGGGAGCTAACAACAACCCTCCCTGCCTTGGCTCACTTCTGTCATTGTAATCTTCACTTACAGTGAGTTAATGGCAGCCACACCTTGGCTCACTTCTGTCATTCTGACTTTTACTCCCAGTACGCTAACTGCAGCCTCACCTTGGTTCATCTCGGTCACTATGACCACTTCTAATTGAATAGCCCCCCTTTGACTCACTTCTGTCACTCTGACCTTCACATCCTGGTGAGCTAACAGCAGCCTCACCTTGGCTCACTTCTATCACTCTGACCTTCACTTCCAGTGACTTAAGAGCAGCCTTGCCTTAGCTCACTCAAGTCACTGTGATCTCACTTCTAGTTAGCAAACTGAAGCTCCTCCTCGCTCACCTCTGTCACTGTGACCTTCACTTAGAATGAGCAAAGAACAGCCACACCTTGGCTCATGTCTGTCACTGTGACCTTCATATCCCAGTGAGCTAACAGCAGCCCACCTTGGCTCACTTCTGTCACTGTGACTTTCACTTCTAGTGACAGAACAGAAGCTCTGCCTTGGTTCACTTCCAATGAGTAAGCTGCAGCCCCCATCTTGGCTTATTGCTGTCACTGTGACCTTCACTTCCAGTGATTAACAGCAGCCCTGCCTCGGCTCACTACTGTCACCGTGACCTTCACTCCCAGTGAACTAACAGCAGCCCTGCCTTGGTTTACTTCTGTCACTGACCTTCATTTCCAGAGAGCTAACTGCAGTCCCACCTTGGCTCACTTCTGTTACTATGACCTTCACATCGTAGTGAGCTAACAGCAGCCTCTCCTTGGTTCACTTCTGCCACTGACATTCACTTCCAGTAAGGTAACAGCAGTCCTACCTTGGATCAAGTTCAGTCACTGTGACCTTCACTTCCAGTAAGCTAACAGCAGCCCAGTTTTTGCTCACATCTGTCACTGTGACCTTCACTCTTAGTGAGCTACAGGAGATCTGCTATGGCTTACTCTGTCACTGTGATCTTCATTTCCATTAATGAAGTAGCTCAGCTTTCGCTCACATCTGTCACTCTGCCCTTCACTTCCAGTGTGGTAAGATCTGCCCCACCTTGGCTCAGTTCAGTCACTGTGACCTTCACTTCAAATGAGCTAAAAGTAGCACCAACTTGGCTCACTTCTGTCTCTGTGACCTTCATATCTAAGTGAGCTAATGGCAGCATCTTCTTGGCTCACTTCTATCACTGTGACCTTCAATTCTAGTGATTAACAGCAGCCCAGCATTGGCTCACTTCTATCACTGTGACCTTCACATCCTAGTGTGCTATTATCAGCCCTACCTTGGTTCAGTTCTATCACTGTGACCTTCTCTACCAATTGAACTATGAGTAGCCTCTCCATGGCTCACTTCTGTCACTTTGCCCTTCACTTCCAGTGTGATAAAATCAGCCCTGCCTTGGCTCAGTTCAGCCACTGTGACATTTATTTCCAGGGAGCTAACAGCATGCCTGTTCTGGCTCACTTCTGTCACTGTGACCTTCACTTCCAGTGAGCTAACAGCAGACCCACTTCTGCTTACTTCTATCACTGTGACCTTCACTTCCAGAGAGCTAACAGCAGACCCATGTTTACTCACTTTGCTCACTGTGACCTTCAGTTCTAGTGAGGTAAGAGCAGCCCTCCCTTGGCTCAGTTAAGTCACTGTGACCTTCATATACCAGAGAGCTAACAGCAGCCCCTCCTTGGCTCACTTCTGTCACTATGATCTTCATTTCCAATGAGGTAAGAGCAGCCCCACCGTAGCTCACTTCTGTCAGTGTGACCATCACTTCCAGTAAGCTAACAGAAGCCCAGCTATCACTCGCTTCTGTCACTGCGACCTTCACTCCCAGTGAACTGCATTCCCACCTTGGTTCACTTCTGTCACTTCTTCATATCCTAGTGAGCTATAATCAACCCTACCTTGGTACACTTCTATAACTTTGACCTTCTCTTCCAATTGAGCTAACAGCAGCCAAGCTTGGGTCACTTCTGTCACTGTGACCTTCAATTCCCAGTAAGCTAACTGCAATTCCTGCTTGGCTCACTTCTGTCAATGTGACCTTCATATCCCAGTGAACTAAGAACAGCCCTGTCTTGGTTCACATCTTTCCTATAATGTTCCTATAGAGCCAAAACAAAGCATCACCTAGGTTCTCTCCTGTTGATTCTTCTACCCTAAGTCCTTCCTTTGTTTCAGTCCACAGTATTAATAAACATACTCTCAAAATCTCTTGAATTTGTGTTATGAAATCTTTTCTACAGGAAGTGAAGAGCCCACAGACGACAAGCCGGTCTGCTGCAGACCCACTATGGGGCCAGACCATCCAGTAACAATAAATAATACATGGGTTAGTTCAGATTACTACAGAAAACTGATCTGACTTCAATTCACTTACATTTGGCAAGTGTAAACCCATACAACTTACAAGGGTTTTATAAAAACTACAGATGGGGTTCACAAAACCTCCAAAATAGCATCTAATTAGTTCCACATGTATGCCGTTCTTCACAATTTTATGCAGAGATGGTCTAATATTTTTAACAAATTCTCAAAGGTGTCTGAGAGTATACTGCTCAAGTTCATTAGAAAAATGAGTATACAGTCCAAATACCTGATGCTTGTCATTTTCTGAAAAAAAGAAAAGAAAGAAAGAAAGCAGCCTAAGAAAATACGTTGAAATGTTAAGTCAAACATACACCTATTCTCAAAACCTTGCAATTACTTTGTATTTCACTTAAATCAGAGATTAAGGAATCAGCCCTGTGATGGTAGATGTTTACTATTTCTAACCTCCAACCAGTAGAGGCCAATAACAACCTTCCCAACCCCAGCTTCCATTGTGAACTAATGACTTAAGAGTAAAATCTAAAGTCCTTACACTGACTTAGAAAAATCACAGAAAATGACTTTTTTTTTTTAACCTCTCTTACCTCATCTCTAGAGCTGTTCCCCTTACTGAACTCCAGTTAAGACTAACATCCTGGATGAGAACACGACTTGTGTCTGGAACCGTAATACATG